TTTGCTGCCCATCAATGATTAATTGACATATCATTGGACATCTATTTTTAAATACAAGTGACAGTAAAAGAAAAGTTGAACTTCTTTTTTAGTTAAAAAAGACGTGTCTCCCGTTTTCAAATCTTTTCATTAAAATTTAAACATGTTCATGCAACAAGGTTGATACAAGCATCTAAATTTGATTGACTATGGCCTGACTAATTGGACATATTTTGTCTCTTGAATGAACTATACCAATCACTACAACAAAAGTAGATTTTATAGAATTTGTTTACAGCATGCAAATAAAATATGCCATAAAAATAAACTATTTACAGGATGTCTTAAATACATGCTGTAATAACTTAATTGCTCAAAGTACAGCATACATTTTGGACACGTTGTAAAAGTTGAATATTTAAGATAAAAAAATGGATTTTTACTGCTTGTGTTTGTGTACGCCATAAAAAATTAAAAATAATTTACCAAATTTTTTTTTCTTTTTCTCTTTTTTTTTTCTTTTTTTTTTCCCCAGGTTCCGTTTTCCTCCTCCTTTTCTTTCTTCTCCTTTCCATTTCATTTTCTTTCTTCTCCTCTCTGCCTAATCGATCTTGTTCATTTTTAGTACATTAATTTAGAATAATTTTATTACAAGAAATTAGAAAATCTCCAAAATTCACATTTCTTGATTATTTTTCATCAGGTCATTCAAGAAACTTGAAGAAAATTTATTAGAGATGAGAAGGGGAAGGAAGAAGAGGAACCGACACCATGAACAGCGCTTTTGAATTGCAAAGAAACACCTTTGCCAGAGAGCTCATGAACTTGATCAAGGAACGATTATTTTGCCCTAATTTAAGTAGTTATTTTTTGAGTCGCAGTCTATACTTTTGATATATTGCTATCAACTTTTTGACTTGGTTAATTACGTTATTAGTAATTATTTAACTCTACACTTTTGACATATTTTATTGGACTACATTCGATACTTTTGTTTATTGAAATTATGGAAACGTGATCTTTTATATATGGGTTGATTTAAATAATTTCAATCTTTAATTATTACGGGTTTGTGGGTAACAAAATAAATAAATATTTTTTAAAAAATTAAATTGACATTTACAGGATACACATGAATGTCATAAAAAAATATCATCTTTTTTATGGCATGCAGTGCATGTCGCAAAATTAAAAATGGCACCCTTTTACAGCATGTTTGGGCAAACTGTAAAAAGCAAATTAAGAAGCACATCATAAAAAGTGATTAATGCACGCCGTAAAAAAATGTGAGTATTTACGACACAGTTTCATATAGAGTTCACATGTATGCCGTAAAAAACTTTTTATGGCTTACAATGCACGTCGAAAAATGTAAATTTTGTTGTAGTGAGACTATAAATTTATAGCGATTATCTATGTCCCTCGACGCAATAATACGATGAAGAGGGTAAGAGCAAAGCCATTGGAAAAGAGAGCTATAATCCCATTTGCATAGAAGTGATATATATTATCCATAAATGGTTGTGCAAAGGCTACTTTTGGGGTTCTAAAAGACATGACCTAAAATTATAAAACTTGATTAGTTGTGAATTATTCGTTTTTCTTATATTGGACAACTCAAATATCAACTAGTTTGATATACAATTGATCATTGTTTATGAAGTAATTTCACTTTATTTTCACTATGTTGGACTGTACATTGACCACACTAGACTGTTCATACACACACAATACAATACGGTAATAATGTCTTGAAGAGTAATCTTCAATGCAGGGTCGATATGTGAAAATTTTGCAAAGGTTTATTTAAAAATTAATGGATCGTAATCTCTGCTCACCAAAAATCAAAATAAAAAAATAATTTGATTCATATTAAAAGTTTAATGGAACATTGATAGGATGACTATATGATAATTGTGTTTGGATAGATTAAGTGTGCATGAGGATCATATTGAACTTAATTTTCACAATCTTCTCCAATATTTCCAAATGATACAGATTCGTACCGAAATAGTAAAAGAAACAATTATGGTACGTTTATATAGAAACTTCTAATTGCTCTTGTTTCTGCTCAAAGAAAAAGTTAGCATTCTATTAATTTTAATTGTACGGTAAATTGGTATAGATTATTTTAACTATGTCAATTGATAGTCATATTTTTGCTTGAATATGAGCTATTCCGCCGCGGGCTAAGATGGCGAATTGGGGATGGTGGGAAAGTACCTATGCTTAGTTCTGCATGGCTTCTTCACCTGAGTTCTTTCTCCCCGACAAGATAGTAGTTTCCATTAAAGAACTCAATCAGCAATTGCCAGTAATTCAATGTAGGTTTGGGTGGACTTTATTAAGCTTCCTATAAATCAAGAGGTAGATCATTTATCCATTTTCACTAGGTCCAAATTTCCACTTTGGATAGAAGCAATAGCTATATTCCTTTCTCGAGACCTTCACTATGTGGGTGATGCTCTTAAATAGTGATATTAACAAGGAACTAGACTTGCTAAATATGGGATATAGGTAAATATTGATGAACTCTACAACAATAGCTTTAATTGTGGCTTGTGAAGGTGATCACGAGCCAATAAATAATTCACATGTTATGGTACAACTATGGTATAGGTAGGGACGCATAAGGGGTGGGTGTTTGGGGGCTAGATCGGGGTGTAGTCCTATCCAATCCAGGCCCAATATAATTTTTTTAGTGTAGTTTGATCTTAAATTCGTCCCTAGGCATAAGACACACAAAACTTGTTTATTGCTCTCTTTGAACTCCATGCTTTGTATTTTCATTAATTGGAGGTTAAGCCATTCACGTTAACTCTTAAACATGTACTTTTCTTTTAATTAATTCATGATAAGTTGACCGAAAAACAAAACTTTTTTGTCGTTGGTCTTCAAACGCAATTGCGACAGCTATTTAAGGTGGAATTTTTTAAGCAAAACAACTTTTTAAAGTAACATGTGAAAATCTAATTTAGAAATCGACAAAAACTAGTCCACTGGTCCCATCCTAATACGACATGAACCATTTATCTTTATCAGTTTGACCAAAAAACTTAGCATATATCTTCAACATGATTTATCACTGAACGTTGCTTGAGGTACACGAACAGAACCCCTATAAGTTCTCACAGTATGGGTGGGTTGGGTATGGATTTTTGCATTTTTTATATAGGATGGTCCCATGCAGGACCCACCTGTTGTTAGTACCCTATAGGAGTTCTGTGAAACAAAGAAACAGAACCGTGTACATTGAGTAAAATCCTTTATCACGTGTGATCCTATTTATTTTTCAGAAGAACTAACACGTGAGTAAATTTTATAAAACAATTGTAGATAAGTCTTTACACAAACATGTAAGTATTATGCCCTAGGTCCAATCAATTTTGGATATAAATACTTTTATATATAATTAATGCAATTAAATGACAGATCTATTATTTAATTAATAGACAATTAAATAAATAATAGAGTACGTAAATTCAAATATTTGTAATTTGTTAATCACAAGGAGTTGTGATTGTGAGATACAAATTACATCTGATTGAATCTTAAATCATCTGTGGTCGTAAGTAATAACGAGATACGGATATCGTCATTACGGATAGACCATCACGTGTGGCATTTCTTACTTGTGAAGTAAGTAGCTAATCTCACAAGTTAAAGTGTGGTGACACTTAAATGAACACGTGGATGTTTTGTTATAGAACAAAATATTGGAGACCCGTCGAGAAATTCCACATGGATAACTATCTGAGTGTCGGTGGTTAATCTCTAACGTTCGGTAGTGAAATTGGTCTTTTGACTTGAGGCCGTCATGGTACCTTATATGAGGACAGTCACACTTTGGCGGTGTTGGATGTTGCTCTGAAAAGGGCCGCTAATACGACATCGTTCGGGTATGTTAAGAATCGTATGAAGGTTGTGATTGATCAATAAAGGATTCGTCACTCTTAGATAGTATGAGATTATGATCTGCGTTTCATTCAATTAAGTCAATGATGAAATCCTTGACCAAGGTGTACTCATAAGTCGAAAAGGAGTTTTCGATTTATATTGACTTAATAGTGGAGTGAAAGATATAATCGATGATCGAGATTGACACAACTTCATATCTCGTAATTGATCGAATCATATTGACGAATGGATTATAGTTTCACGGTAAACGAACGAATTTGGTTTTATCATACCACGTGACATTTCCCGTCACATGTATTGCCCTGACACATTGCTAGATGTCAATCAGGGACGGCGAATGTGAATTGACGATAAATTAAAAGGGTGTTTTAATTTATCAATTTTGATTAGATCAAAATAATATTTCACGTCGTTAGGTATCGTGGTCGGGAACCTAATGAGTCACACACAAAAGAGAATTGGAAGATTGCAAATTGCCAATTGGTTAATTTAACAATCGTTGGATAAATTAATTAATTGGATTTGTTATTTATATTTTCGAATTAATTAATTGGATTAATTAATTCACGGACCGAGTTTAATTAATTGGATTAATTAATTATTGGACCGGATCGGGCCGAACCTGTTTGGGTTTATATAAATACATAACTAGGGTTTGAGGTCCATAAGGTTTTCATTATTCTTGCTGGCAAAAGAGAAAACCCTAGAGGCTGCAATCATATTCTCTGTGCGGATCACCGTTGGAGGCTGGACAATTGGACAGTTGTGGTGGCGAAGCAAAAGGATTGCAGATCTGAAAAAGGTACAATCTTATCGCAATTTCTATCTAAACACAAAGGCGATTCTTGGTGGGAATCGAAAATTATTTTAAATTCCGCTGTGCATGTATAAGTAGATTCCCAACAGTGGTATCAGAACCTACTTTGTGTTTGTTAGAAATTGCTTTGCATGTTGGAAACAATTAAAAGTTAATTGTTTATTTTTCTTGTTTTAGTGATTAAGAAACTTATTTTTAATATTCAGAATTTGATTTTGAATATAAAATAATATTTTGGGTCGGAATAAAACAAAAATAAAAGGGGGGAGGGGACTGGCCGGCGACAATGTTGTCGCGGGCATTGACGTGGGCAGCGCCCGGCGCTGCTGCGCCGAAGTGGCAGCAGGCGCTGCCAGCCAATGAAAGGAAGGGGCAGCGCCTGTCGCCGCCCCATGAGGCAAGAGAAAGAAAAAAAAATGTTTTTTTTAGGGTTTTCAGAAAAATCGGTGACAGATTTGGAGGCGGGGGCCTCAGTTGCAATTTTTGAAATTGCAGGCCCCTGCTTGCAATATTATGAAAGGGGTCAAGTTGTAATTTTGAAGAAGGACTGCTGTGCAATTTTGTAATCTTGAGGGCCCTGTTGATAATTTGCCAAGGGGTCAGTTTGCAATATTTTAAAAGGGGACTTGTTCTGCAATTTTAAATTTTGGAAGGGTCCGATGTTAATTTCAAACTTGGGTCAATTTGCAAGTTTTGAAAATGGTTTTGAATTTCAATTTTGAAATGGTTTTAAAATTAATTTTAATTGGGTTCGACCCATAATTTTTATTTTGACCCAAATTAAAATTTTATTTAAAATTGACGACATTTTTATATTTTTGTTAAAATTGGATTTTGACTTAAATATTAAACTTTGACCCTAAATTGAATTCTATTTAGGAGTTTTATCCTAAATTAAAATCTTAATTCAATTTAAGTTAGAATTGGATTCTAATTTAGTGTTTAATTAAAATTTGATTTTAATTAAATTATTCACCCAAAGATATTTTAGATATTAGAATTGGATTCTAATTTGACGTTTAATTAAAATTTGATTTTAATTAAATTGCCTCGTCCTAAATTTCTTCTTGAAATTAGAGTTGAACTCTAATTTGGTATTTAATTAAAATTTTGATTTTAATTAAATTAATTCGCCCT